AGGCTGAGCTTTTTGACTGTAAAGTTGCTAGACATTGGAACAGGCTACTTAAAGAAGTTGTAGAATCTCCGTCCCTTGAAAATTTCAAGAGCAGGCTAGACAGACACTTAGCTGGGATGGTTTAGTCAGGGATGATCCTACCTTGAGCAGAAGGCTGAACCAGATGACTTGGAGATCCCTTCCAGCCCCACTTTCCTCTATGACTAATATCCAAACGTCTGACTGAATTTAGCCTGGTTTCTGTTTTGCATTAATGACATATTGAACAAGCCTGCTTGTACAATGCCTTGTTTACAAGAAAGGCTTAATCGTCTGTTTTAGTTATTCATTATTTTAATAGATGAGGGAATCTCCCAGATGGGGTCCAGGTCCAGTCATGCCACATTATACAAACATAGCACAAAAAGATTGCCCCTGGTCCACAGCGTAACTAAAACACAAAACTCTCTTCCTTTTAGGATTGCTTGTAGAGAAAATAATAACTCATAAGGGCCTCATTATCTAGTTATACAGAAGGGGCATAAATCAATGGAAGCATTAACTTGATGCAGAACAACATAAAGTCAGCATAACATTTGCTGATGAGAGATTTAAGGGGAAAAGTTTGCTCTCCCTCTCCATGATTCATCATATTGCTATTGTAAATTCCTTGGAGTGACAACACAAGCCAAAGTAGTTCTCTGTCTTTTTCTCTCTATGGACTTTTGTCTGAATGACTATAGGTCCTTATAGGACAGATTATAAGAAGTCACATGATTTCACTGCACAGGAACAGGAAAGGATGCTGCAAGCAAAGGGAGAGTTAAGGATAGATTCCAACCCCCCCTCCCCGTCCCCATGCCTCCTGCAGGTAGTTCGTAGGCAAAGTGGGTATAAAATGTAACCGTTCTTATCCAATGACAGTTTATGATCATTTGCATAAGTGCCTGAAACTCTCATTGGGGCTCGGCAGTGCAGAATCGGGTTTATCAGCTTGACACCTCCAATCCAAAGTGTTTTAAGCTGTTAAGCATGCCACGGGGCTGGAAGGGCAGTACATGTACATACCAGTTTCTGTGTTTTTTGTCCGACCATTTTGAGGTTAGCACACATGGAAGAGAGCCTCCTTGTACTGCAGTATTTCACAGGCTTCCATATCAAAACGCAGTGAGTGATCTACAAAGGCAGGTATATAAAATGTTTTCATGGAGGCTTATCCTCAGCAACAAAATCTTTTGCTTTTGAAGCCCAAGGAATTCTGTTTTTGTATGATTGTTGCACCAAATTTGATGAAGTGGCAGGGGGGTGGGGTGGGGCGGCTTTGTGTTTTTCAGTCTTCAATTTTAGAGTTCTTTAGGAGCCTGCTGGAACTTGTTCCTGATGGAGGTTGTCCTCTCTAATACTTTAACTGAGAGTTTAAAAAAAGAAAAAGTAACATATATAAATACCTGAATATGAGCAACTGGCAGATGAAGATGGACACAACCTACCTGGACACAGAAAAACTTTTCTGTTGCTCTTGTAAGAGACAGCGTCAAAAATCTGACTGGTGCTGCTCCTTTGCTTTCCATGGGAAATGCTGACCTTGTTCTTCACATAAAGTGTGGGTTCTTTTATTTTTAAAACTGGCAGTCTGGGCATGTCCGTGCTGCACCCAGACTGTGCTCCAGAGTGCCACAGCAGAGCCTGGCTTGCCTGCTCCGCATGAACAGCTGCCCCACAAAGTGGTTATGAAGTGGCCCTAGGGACTATGCAGATTGGCCAAGAAGTTTCTGCTTGAGGTATGTCCAGACTTGGACATTCTGCAAAGACACGTTTCCTCTTATGTTAGTATCGCCATATGCCAAATAGCAGCTTGTCCTTTGCATCTCAGAGCACCGGAGCCAGAATTGATCTTGTTTAGGCCAGGAGAAGTCCCAATGGAGCTTATCAGGTCTATAAAGGTGTATACAAGTCAAGCAAGTCCTGTGTTTTCTTTTCCAGGAGGGCAGCTTCCTTATAAACTACTTCAAGTGTCATGGGTATAAACCAAAAGGAAATTGAAAACCTTGACATGAAGCTTTCTCCAAAGCACAGAGCTCCGGATGGCTCAATCAGCAATTAAGTTTTGTTCTTGGAAACGCACCCTACCTGGAAGAAATTAATATAATTATTCCCAATGAAGAAGAGCAGAATGCACAGGAAATGCAGTAAAGTTGTGACTGGGACAGAGCTAAATGATGTGCCTAACAGGGCCTGCAGACTTCCAAGTTTACAGCTCTATATGGAGATCTACTCTAGCCAGCATTGTCATCAGTTTGCACTAGGGCCAGAGCTCTGCTGACTTCCTTTACACATACCAGCCATGAAACCTTTTAATTTAACAGTAATCACATTTACATCCAGGAATCTTGCAGAAAAGCAGATGATAGACAAAACAGAAAAACAGCACTGTGCTCTGTAGCAGGTCTCCAACAACAGAGCTTCTAATGAGCATCCCAGTCACAGGACAATTTTACAAAGTCTTATTTGTGATTCACTGAGGCAAAGGGTTTCTCCGTCTTTAAGCCTCATTCATCTGGTTCCCAGATCTGTCTCAAGCCTGTAATCACAGTGGTGTTCCCAAGCACTCTTGTCTCCTAAAAGCATATCTTGTAGAGACTTTATCTCTTCTTAATGTGCAGATGAATATCCCCAGCTCTCCACCAGCCCAAAGCACTATTATGGGCTAATGCCCATTCATAAGAAATCTGATGCAGTTTATTGTTTTCTGCTGCATAACACATTTGAAATTCTGGATTTTTTTTAAATCAAAATACCAGGTAACCCCGCGCTTAGGACTCTTAATCGGTTCTGGAAAAACCAAGCGCTAAGCGAAACAGTGTTAAACGAAACCCATTTTCTCATAGGGTTTAATGTAAATAAATATAATTGGCTCTACACCACCTGCCGGCCCTGGCCCTGCACTCCTGCCGCTCCCAGCAAGGCACTGCGCGGGCTCTGCCAAGGGAGGTGCTGGCTTCTCCCAGCCTTGTTTTTCCATCACCGCAATGGCCCCTGCTGGCCTGCACCTGCTAGCCACCAGCGCACCCGTGCACAGCCCCAGCCACCCCGCGCTTCTGCCGCCCCGGGCCCTGTGCTCACACCCTCTGCCCGCCCCTTCTCACCACCACTGGCACTCCTCCCCGCCCACCGGCCGCTCCAGCACCACATGCCAGAGCGGGCCCTGGGCTCCTGCCACCCCGCCCTGGGCCCTGCCGGCTGCCACTCTCTGATTCACTCGATGACGACGCCACCACCGCTGCCACCACTGCTTCTCCCCACCCACCGTGCTGAGCGTTATAACAAAACGCTCTGCGTGCTAATTGAAACCAGGTAGGTATTTTAAATGAGTGCTATAGGGAAACCACAGTAAACAAACCGGCGTTAAGCAGGGGTTGCCTGTAGGTATGGACACTGTTCCACATTCAATACAAATGGTTTCACCTTTTTCCTCTCTCTCATTTACATGGCTGCTTCTGACCTAACCAAGGCACCACCATTATATTCTCTTGTGTGGTTCCTATAAAAGACTTAAAATCAGCTTGAGTGCACTGTCACCCTTCAAAGGGAAATAGCCCCTTTAATATAGAGCTTTATAGAATTGCTCTAGAACATAATGCCTTAGGGCACCTATAGACCCAGACATCTCGTATTCAGGGTCCCCACGCTTCAAAATGTCAGCGGGGTGCTTTAACTAAAGCTGGTCAAAAGAGCTGTAAAGCACCTCCGCCACCATTTTGAAGCACAGGATACTGAATACAAGTGATGCTGTGGGCACTTTAATTAGAACAGCTCTCAGAGTAATTAAATGCACCCCGCCCCACCGCCCCAATCAGCAGCACATGTAAAGACACCCTTAGTCACCAAAATCTGAAGTGCAGTACCATTCCCAGCAGGCAGGCAAAGATGCTGCTAACTATAAGCCCATTTTAAAGGAGCCCAGTAACAATTCAAGGCCTGAGCTAAAGCTCAGGGAATATTTTTCCAAGCACCCCATTTATTTTAGTGAACTTTGGATCAGGTCCCAAGTGTTTTGGTCATGGTCTCAACTCCCTAGCTTGTCTGTTTTTTTTTAATTGGATCATTTAACTGCATGATGATCTTTTGTACTTGTCACAAAAGCCCTTGTCCAGCAATTTTATTTATTTTTAACATCCCTGATATAAACAGGACCTCTGTCCCAACCTCAGTACAGACCAGATAATCAGTGTTAGTCAGTCCAACGATTATAACATCCAAGGTTCACTCGCTTGCAACTCAACCAATGTCATATATGCCATCACTTGTTTACAGTACCCCACTCCGGTCTGCATTGGGCAGACTGGGCAATCTCTCCGTGACAGAACACTTTAACCTTCCTGGATAGTCACTGACCTAAAGGTGGCTGTCCTCAGACAGCAAACTTTTAAAAACCGATTTGAATGGGGAATTGCAGAACAAGAAATCAGCCATGGCCTGGATTGTTTGGTTCAAAAGGGGCTATCAAATTCTTATCCCATTACCGGGGTCAGCTTTGACTCCTTTGTTCCTATGGATTTACTTGCTTGTCTCTCCCAGCATTACGTCCTCTCTCTCCCGCATGCTCTCTCTGATGAAATGTGCTTCAGCTCACAAAAGCTTGTGCTATGCTAAATAGATATATCTACTTTGGTTAGTCTATAAGATGCAAATCTACCCTGCCTTCCAAACCTGACTCCCAGGGAAATAGAAGAAAGGAATCCCATTGATCCTAATGCGTTTAGTGTGACTGGTAGTCAGGACTTGAACCAACCCTGTAGGTAGGGGAACTGGCAATCCAAATGTCTTTGCCAGCAAACGAGCTCTTAATTATCAAACGCTTGAACAATTTGTAACACACCTTCTCATTCCTTTTCTGACAATAAAAAGTCAAGTATATTTAATATATAAAACACATTTTTTATTAAAATAAATGTACAACACAATATATACAAAAATATATACAGGATGAAAGTTCAATTACTACTTAGTGATCCGATAGATTTTTCAGATATGCCTAAACTAAAGCCCTCTTTCAATTCTGGAGTTTGCACTGTTTTGCATAGGCTCATGCCATTGGTTTTCTTTAAGAGCTGTTTCATAGTTCAGTGTGTCTTCTGTTGTTGGTATTCTTTTACAATTTAGAGCACTGAGGTTGCTCTCAAACAGGCACTATATAAATAAATTAGCATGGCCATCAGTGGAGGGGGAAATCCCACACTGTGGCAGCTTTTTGACAGCAAGTATGTAAAAAATGGATATATGCCATACATAATGATAACAGGATAAAGTCCTAGGAGTAGATCTTCTGAACAACGGAAGCAAGTCTGACATGGAAGCAAAGCCTGTGTCAGACTTACTTTTTTAAAACTTTTTTTTGGCTAAACGTATTTACAGAAATGAAGATTTGTATTTGGAAATGAACCCTATATGCTGGAATAATCGAAGAGAGGGCCAATTAGTGCAATTTTTGTTGAATCACAATATGCAATAATTGTAATTAAGCTCATAATTTCACAGGTATCATCTGGGTAAGCAGCAACCAGAACTAGTAGGGGGATGGAGGGCTGTCTGTCTCTGAAGCACTGCTTCTGTAAAAGCTGTAATCTTCCCCAAAAGCAGTGCTTGCAATGTCCAGTATGAAAAACATAGAAAACAGACAAGGACTATATAAATCTGAACCCTACTTCTCATGATACACAGCACCTTTGACCTTCACCCCCCAGAAAAGGTGGAACCTCCTTGCACAATACGGTATGAACAACTTCACACTGGAAGCAATTATAAAGGTATATGCCTACGGCTTAGTTAATCACTTCAATGTGAAGAGTTCTAACAAGGTGGGATATATCTGTGATCATGGAGCTTTCCTTCTTAACAGTCTTTGAATCAGAGAAGTTAAACGGATAGTAAATGTTGTTCCTTCTCCAGAGTCAGTAACAAACAACTCCTTCCACTCTGTTAGGGCTTGCAGAAGATACCAGAAGTAAACATTTGTGGTTCAAAGAAAGAACAAGGTTTAGAAGTTGCAAGGAATGGCTTGCATATTCGAAGATCTTACTGTCTCCAGCCAAGAGAACTCTAGACTGCTGCTTTTCATATCAGTGCAAAGTCTCAGCTCGATTTCTTCTGCGGGGGAAGATCAGAAAAGAAAAGTAAATAATTGTACGCAGTAGAAGCAAAGCAATGTGCGCTAATACTATGGTAATTACTAATAATACTTAAAGCAAATGTAAAACTCCTTAAATGAAACCTGAATACATTTGAGAGCTGCAAGCTTTCTTTATCTAGAAATACTTTAAATAAGCTATGAAACTTGTTACAACTTTCTGTTTTTAAACCATTCCCTTTGGTAAGCTGGTAAGCCAAAATACAGATTAAGTTAAGCACCAATTTCAGGGCAGAGTATCCCACCCAGAACACTGTCTGTATACGAAAATAACCATTAAACAAATCTGTGGTAATCTAGTACAGTCTCAGTTTTAAATCCCAGTAAACATCTTCAGTTTTGTACTAACATCTTAGCTGCAGACTTTGGAGCAGTTCATTGTTATGGCATCCTACTCATTTTGTTTCACTCCAATTAATCCACCTTGTGCACAGAGCTTCTTTCTCTGCTGCTGTCTCTGTCCCTGGCTGCATTCTGAGTTACTTTCCTCCAGAAATTCAAGAATTTGTACCTGAGGTGGTATCAATTTCAGCATCCTGCTCCTTGTATATGTAACTGCACAGGCTTTGTGTGCCAGGCTCATTGGTAAGATAGCCTTTCCCGCCAATGCTGGTTGTATGCCAGTCTTGTTCAAGCAGCTGTAAGAAACAAAGGAGATGAGGGGTAAGGCCTGAAACTTCCTGCTTTTTCTTAAGGGGGTGGGAGAGAAGAATGTGCTAGACTTAAATGTTCAAACCTCCTTGAACAAACTGCTCAGTACCTATAATACTGCCCATACAGGATTTATGAGACTACTTGGCATTGCAGTTAAGTCTAGGGGCAGGTTTCATTGTGTCCTATGCAAGATCCAAGACTCAGCTGGCTAGCTGACAGCCTGGCTGCCATTATCAGCTTCCATTCAGGTGGCCTTATACTGGAAGAGCAAGTTACTGCAGGTCTAGACTAAGGAGCGTGGTTTGGGAAACGTTCACAAAACTTGCCTATACTATGCCCATTCCCTGTAGCCCTTGTTTCTAGGAACACCAAAGAGAAGGAAGAAAATTTTAGCATCTTCTTGCTACATCTGTGAGACTTCTGTTATGCTAACAGATGAAACTTAATTTAATGCAGAGCACACCACAGTCGGAAGACTCCTGTAAGGAAAGGGCCTATCTCCTAATAGTGGTGAATGTGACACGTGCCTAGATGCATAGCAAGGTAGGAGGTGCACATCTGTTCCCAAAGCTAGGGATATTCCTTCCAGGGGTGTAAATGTCTCAGTCTGACACTTCACTTAACTATTGAATCTCTCTGGGAGATGGAGAGTGACAGAAAACCAAATATTTCCATATGTGTATTCCAAATCATGTCTGCACAAAGTCCTTTCTTTCTCAATTTTATTTTTCTCCCCCGAAAGCCTCCTGATGCAACTATAGTAACTGTTTGCTTGGGTTAACCCAGAATATCACTAGCCAAATGTTATTTCTTTCTTCCTAGATGCTAATATCAACTTGCTCAATGTTTCTTCTGAAAAGAAGAGAGATTCTTACCTTAAAAAGGTCTGTCTTGATTTCCTCTTGATCCTCATCTGTCACTGTTATGTTTTATGAATGCATGAAAAAAACAAAAAGCATGTTGCCTTTAGTACTGTGTTCTCACTGGCATAAAACACTTGTATATTTAGTTACTACCACAGTCAAGTTTGCATTCTGGTTAGGGTGTTTTAGGACTACATGTTTCTGCCACCCCTGTGGGTGTAGGCTCTGAAGAGCATTCGCACTGGAAAAGCCCACATGTCTCTTCCTGTGTAACTCTGTTTAGTAACATGAAGTTTATCTTTTTGAGACGAGTTATTTCTGAGAATCTGTTTCTTTGATCCACAAGTGAATGGTGGCATCACTCCTAAACTATACTTGTCCTCACTCTCTTGGACACAAGTTATGAGAGCATATGCACTCAAGTGACAGCTTCGGACTGCTGTGCATCTGCTCTGCACCCTGCCAGCAGGCTGGGGGAAATATCTTATCCTTACATGCCCTGATGCAAAAGCCACTCCTTTTGGCTTTGTATATATGATCGGGGAGGACATCTGCACCTTAAATGACACATTGTTCTAACAGATGCAGAAATGCCTGTCTCCTAATTTTATGTAAGTTTGCCAAATGCAATGACTTCTGCATTCTACTTCCTGACTCTGTGATGTGCATCTTGTTTAAACTAATACTAAACTAAAGATAAGCACATAATGGATCATATTTCTACTTGGTAGATAGTGAACCAATGCAGGTGAGCTTAGGTGATGCAGAGGACTAGTTTTGCTTGCTTAGAATTGCCAGGTTGGAAGACCAGAGTTTGATGGTCTAAGCAATCCTGCCTTTAATGCAAGCTGGGAGACGCTTTACAAATAGGAAATACCCCCCAACTCCTCTCTACATACCAAGTACTGTGATGCCTCAAAATCCGAAATCTTCACCTTTACTTTACTTGGCTGTCATTACATACCCTAAAGAGTGGATTACCCTAGTATATCCCATTATGAGTCTGAGCTGGAGTCAGGTTACACAGCTAAAGAGAATTTACTGGATCCAAACCCTGAGTTTTCCTACAAATACAAGTCCCGTGGACTTCTCTAGGAGTCATACACACTTAAGAGCTGCAATCTAGGGCCCCTCAATCTGAATCATTTGAAGTGTTTTAATGGAGCCCATTAATCCTGAAAATCCAGACGGCCCTTGTCATTTGTACAATAGGGCTGTTTTGTTCAGTTTTTATCATCTCTTTCTGGCACCCCAGTGTTTTCTGAAAATACCAACCTTCAGAAGATGAAGCTAGAGGTGACACTTGAAGCTGGTAGATGTCATTTGTGCTGTCAGCCAGCGCTATTTCCATTGGGGTTCTCCATTCGGTCACCGCAGTGTGTATATCACATGGTGAGAGATCTGTGGAATGTGCAGAAAGGGTGAGTTAGATTCTGGGAGACAATAAAGCTTCATTCAATCCCTTGCTAACCACATTTCAAATGACCTGTTACAGATCAGCCCAGGAAAAGGTAGCTGTTACTACTTTTCTTCTGAAGCTGATCTTGTATGCTGAAGTTTGGCAAGAAAAACACCTTTTGTTAAGTTCAAAGAACTAAAACTGAGTCTCACCGAGGGTGACAGATGTGCTTTCAACCTTCACTTCCTGTCCTGCATAGTCTTGAACTGTGTAACTGCTGTGGTCATCTGGTATCATTGTGCTGTTTAGTGCTTCTACTGCTTCATCTGACCTCATGTCCTCATATGACTAGAAAGATAAGAGCACAGAATAAAATATCTCTTTTTGCAAAAACATACTCACAAATATATTAGATCTCCATTTGTGGGGGAGAGGAGGAATTCAGAAAGTGCCTCTGATTTGCTTAAACTGCCACATACCTTTCTCCTGCTCTTGTTTCTTGAGTCTCTAGATGATTTTGACTTCCTTTCTGTTCAAACAGGAATAAGGGAGAAGTGAGAAACGCCCTGCAGCCAATTTGGATATTTCGATTTACGTGAGCATAATCCCCATGTGAAAAATTGGGTGTTGTGGTGCTGAGCATTGACAGATGTGATCCTGCTCTGGGAATGGCTGTCAAATGTCTGTCCCTAACCCCAACCCCTCCCAGCTGTTTTGCAAGAACTGAGTGTTTGAAAACTCTTAAGAACTTGGGACTGAAAGGAGGTGAAAGAATCATAACTTGTAGTTGCAATGACTGCACAAAAGTGTGGTGTTACTTTCAAAATATTTATATAACACCACTGGCAAGCAGAACAGGAAATGCTAAACATAATGTTGACTGCAGTAATATCTCCTACATTGCAAGCACGCTGCTATGTTTGTACCTTTTTTCTGCAGCTTTGTTAAAGGTGGTAACATTCTGTAAACCCGGACTGCACTGGAGCCTTTATTGATGCTTTTATCCTTCACTTCTTCGATATCAGGCAATGAATTCATGGCACAGCGGAAATTTGCCTTCCATGTTTTAGGGTCCGGTTCTTTCTCCCCTATCTTGTATCTCCCTATAAGTAAGAGATGGTGTAAAATTCAGACCTTCAGAGTGCTCTGCAGTGTTTAATACTTTCCCACAAAATAGATGGCTTTCCTTCCATTTCTGTTTTGTTGCACCAAATAGACAAGATAATTACATGAGATTCAAGTCAGGGCAGCATTAGACCCTATGTACTTAAATGATGGAGAGTGCCTAAACACCAGCACGTACCAGTGTGAACGGCCCAACTTCGGAAAAGGCAGGCATCTTTTTCCATGTCCCAGCCATGCTTAGCTGCATGTTTCCATGGGATCTGGAACATCATCTTATCCTGTAGTTAAACAATACACTGTTAAATACAGGAAACAGATACACCCACTTGTGACCCAAAATAAACTTAGAGACAATTTGTCAAAAGCAAGGGAACTAAATCAAGGCTACCATTAGATCTGAATTTAACATCTACCTACTTCCATAATTTACTACACACTATAAAGGTTGTCTTTCCTCTAGCCCCCCGTCCCTCCAAGAGTCATGTGGCTTTCCAAATCTCTGAACCAGATGACTCAGTCTTATCTCAGAAAGACTTTGAGGTCCCCCGTGTCCCCTCCTCCCGCCCATCCTTAAGGATCTGCATACATCACAAGAAAAACTATTTGTTACAGTGTAACATTCATTGAAAATGGAGACTTCCTTTTTCAGGTGTATTCAAGGTGCCTTGTAGTTGAAAACATTCAGAGAATTAGGTATGTCCTGAACTGGTAAGGAAAAGCCTAAACACTTGGCCAACTTGGATCTCTTCCAACACCTTATGCTTGTATCTGAATGGCAGTATTGTCTGAATCCACTTAAACCATCACTCCAGTAATTTACTCAAATAAAACTGTGCAGTCAGGAAACTGGATGACCTGACACCAGCGCTGGGATAGCAAGTCACCGTACATGTGCAAGGGTTTTGCAGTTGGTTCTCACTCAGCGTTGATTTAATTGAAAACAAGCTCAACATCACCTAAGATTTGGTTTTATGGTCCCATTAAATGGTTAGGATCTAACCCAGATGACTTATGCAAGTACAAGAGGACTTGGCGCAAGTATGAGTTACAGGCTCATCTGAAGTGTCCCTGGTTCCCCAACTTGTCTTGCCTTTTTCTCCACCCCCAAACCAGGGATTCCTTAGAAAATGTCCGGTCAATGATCAAGTGATTGACAGCTACTTCTTTTCTGAAAACAAAAAAGTTGTCTTGCATAGTGTGGGTAGATTCTCTCCATTTCCTTCTGACCTAGGTATGTGACCTGGATTTGTATTTAGTATCAGCTAAGAGCAGAGGGCCTCTTGAGTATGACCGATCGATACAGAAGTAACGACAGAGTCCCCACCTTGTTGATCCAGGTCAATCCTGGTATTTGATTGGAATTGATCTGCATTTCCAGCCAAGGCCTCATGCGCATTCTTGTCACTGGCATTTTGTCTGTGAAAGGAAAATAACATCAGCAAACAGGTAAATGTTCTGCCTTCTACGCTTTTTTAGCAATGCAACCCTGCCATGCTTACTACTGTCCTTACAGCTAAGGGCCAGCAAAAACCAAGGTGGCCAACTTGGATCTCTTCCAACACCTTCTGCTTGTATCTGAACAGCACTGTTGTCTGAATCCACTTAAATCATCACTCTAGTAATTTACTTAAATAAAGCTGTGCAGTCAGGAAACTGGATGACCTGAGACACCAGCACTGGGATAGTAAGCTGCTTCCCTTTTTTGGGACACTTGCCCAGTTCTGTTCCAAGAGGGAACTTTTGTCTTCTGATGCTGTTTGGCGGCTGACATGAAATGCATTTTTGGTCTCGAACCTTTACCCAGTGAACAGATACTCAGGTCTCAAACCAAGGGCACATCCAGTATATTCTTCCTGGCAATCCCAGTGGAAAATGCAAAAGAATCAAAGGTTTGTGGGCTCTGAACTCCTCCCTCTTTGTTCTCAAGGTAATTGCTGCAGGTTGCGGGCAAGGCACGCTGGTAGGGCAGTGGAGGGAAGTCTAAACTGCCACTTCCTGTGTCAGACTTGCCATGAATCACAACAACAAAAGACAGCAGGTTTCAAGGCCCTCAGGCTTTCACCAGCACTGCTGCACAATATAGTATTTAAATAACTGTTACAATGTATTTAACTGGGTTGGGGAGAGGAGGGGGGGCAGGACATTGCTCTCTAAAATGATTCTTAGTCTACCAAAAAGAAAAAAAAGAACAATTTCCTGGGGCGTGTCCAGTTCTTCTTTAGTGCTAACGAGCTTCCCTTCAAGGAAGTGCAACATGTTTGCTAGAAACTTATGCACTCTGCTGCGAGCTTCTCCTTCTAGCACTAGCTCTTGCCACAGATACAGTTATTCTAACTAATAATTTCAAAATGGGAACTCCAGTTTTCAGAGGTATCCAAACAGTAATTTTTTTCCCTGAGCGGGCAGGCAGAGGAGGCAGAGTTGCACAGTCCAATTTCTGGCTTCCTTCCTAACCTGGGAGGAGACTAAGCAAGAGGCTCTTCTCCAAGTGAACTTTCAGCTCTTTTGCACTCCCTTTTTCTTCTGCAGAGCCCATTCCCGCCAGCCAGTTCTCCACGTGGAGAGCAATGTTTTGCTTTGGGGCCAGGAGAGGCAGTAACGTGAAGGGCTGCAAGGCTGGCAGCGTTTGGACCCATTTCAACCACATCCCTGCTTGTTTTTTTTCCCCTCCAGAAAACAGCCTCTGCTCACAGCTCCTCCATCCTCCACAGCTCCCTCCTGCATAGTACCAGGTGTTTTCTTGCTGTGTGCGCCTCGAGGATACATGTGTTAATATTTGTACTAGAAACAGAGTGTGTGCATGTGTGAAAAGTATACAGACTATATTAATATAATAATACTAGAAATAGAGGGTGTTCAAGTATATTGACTATTATATTTATATAATTATACTAGAAGTGTATGTGTTATATAAATATAATAGTCTATATACTTTTAAACACACACGCTATTCTAGTATAACTATATAAATATAGTAGTATAATAAATATAATAGTATAATAGCATAACAATTATATAAATATAATAGTCTATAAACTTTTAAACACACACTATTCTAGTACAACTATATAAATATAGTAGTATAATAGAATAGTATAATTATATAAATATAATAGTCTATATACTTTTAAACACACACACTATTCTAGTATAACTATATAAATATAGTAGTATAATAAATATAATAGTATAATAGCATAACAATTATATAAATATAATAGTCTATAAACTTTTAAACACACACTATTCTAGTACAACTATATAAATATAGTAGTATAATAGAATAGTATAATTATATAAATATAATAGTCTATATACTTTTAAACACACACACTATTCTAGTCTAATTAAAAGTATATAGACTAGTATAGCCGCGCGCGTTTAAAAGTAGATAGCCTCTTACATTTATATAATTATCCTGGAAGAGTGTGCGTGTTAAAAGTGTACAGACCACGTGAATATCGTTCTGCTAGAACCAGGGTGCGTGTTCAAGTCTCTGGCCGCCTCTGCTGCTCTGCCGCGGCGAGGCAGAGCGCGGGTGCGGAGCGCTCCGCGCCGCCGGGGAGGGCTGTCCGGCAGCGGCGCGGGCTCAGCCCGGCTCGTGGCCGGGGAAG